ACTTTCTTCATATGGCTCAGCCTCAAAGAAAAGTGATAGTGGGAACAGGCGACTGGCTAGGGAATGTGGCAGGCAAGTGCTGACCACTGTGCTGGATACATTGGTTTCTCCAGCAGAAGACAGAGAGTAGGGAGTGGTAAGATTGTCCAGCTTAGAGTCCAGATGACTTCCCTGGTTACCCTCCCTTATGAAGACCATACAGGAGGTCTTTGTTAAAAAGTGGTCAGACAAGCCGGGCTTGGTGGCTCAGCCTGTAATCCCGCACCTTTGGGAGGCTGAGGTGAGTGGATTGCCTGAGCCCGTGGGTTTGAGAACCCCCTGGGCAACTTGGCAAGACCTCATCTCTACAATAATTCAAAAAAATCAGCTGGGCATGGTAGCGCGCGCCTGTAGTTCCAGCTACTTGGAAGGCTGAGGCGGAAGGATCGCCGGAGCCCAGCAGGTGAGGCTGCGGCCGCCGGGAGCAGCCGTTGCATTCCAGTCTGGGCGACAGAGTGAGACTCCAACTCCAAAAAAAAAAAATAGCCAGGCATGGTGGTGCATGCCTGTGGTTCCAGCTATTCGGAAGGCTGAGGCGGGAGAATCACCTGAGCCCAGGAGGTTTCAGTGAACTATGATGGCACCACTGGACTCCAGACTGGGCAACAGAGCCAGACCCTGTCTCTTAAAAAAAAAAAAGACACATATCTCATTTTTCATGGGCAATATGACTGTTGACATAGCCCCAAAGAATCAAGCAGATAAATGGTTGATGTTAGTGAGAGAGCTGGGCCAGATGCTGGGTGAGCACCCCAGAATCATGTTCTCACCTTCCTTGTGCCCCAAAGTGTCGCCCACAGCCAGCAGAATCAGCTTCACCTGGGAGCTGGTAAAAATGCAGAATCTTAGGCCAGCCCAAACCCGCCAAATCAGATCCACACTTTTGCTAGAATTCAAGACCAGCATGGGCAATATAGTGAGACCCCATCTCTACAAAAACAAACAAACAAAAAACCCAAAAGGTTAGCCAGGCATAGTAGTGTGCACCTGTAGTCCCATCTACTCGGGAGGCTGAGGCAGGAGAATCACCTGAGCCCAGGAGGACAAGGTTATAGGGAGCCATGATGGTGCCACTGCATTCCAGCTTGGATGACAGAGTAAGACCCTAACTCAAAAAAGAAAAAAAAAATTCCCTAAGCCTGGGAAGCAGGGCTCAGACCATCTGCATATCTAAATACAGGTAACATCAGTGATGTTGGTGGACAGTTTCAGACTACCACCATAAAGCGTACGTCACAATAAAGTGAGCCTCACAAATGTTTGGGTTTCCCAGTGCATATAAAAGTTATTATTATTTTTTGAGTTGGAGTCTCACTCTATTGCCCAGGTTGGAGTGCAAGCTGCAGACTCATGGCCACTGCAGTCTTGATCTTCTGTGCTCAGGCGATCCTTCTGCTTCAGCCTTCCAAGTAGCTGGAACTATAGGTGCACACTACCACGCCCAGCTAATTTTTTTATTTATGTAGAAACGAGGTCTCACCAAGTTGCCCAGGCTGATCTCAAACCCGTGTGGTCATGCAATCCTCTCACCTCGGCCTCCCAAATTGCTGGGATTACAGGCTTGAGCCACCCTGCCCTGCAAAAGTTATTTTTATGCTACACTGTAGTCATTAAGTATGTAGTGACACTGTGTCCAGAAAAACAATGTACATACCTTAATTAAAAATACTTGATTGCCAAAAACAACTAAAGATCATCTAAGTCTTTCACAAGCCATGATCTTTTTGTTGATGGAGTGTTTGCTTGATGCTATTGGCTACTGATCTCTCAGGGTGGCGATTGCTGAAGGCTGGGTGGCTTTAGCAACATCTTAAAATAAGACAGCCATGAAGTTGACCACACTGGTGGACTTCTCCTTTCATGGAAGATTTCTCTGGAGCACGTGATGCTCTTTGAAAGCATTTTACCCAGCCGGCTCGGTGGCTAAGCCTGTAATCCCGCAC